TAGAACTTCAAAAGAAAGTTTAGGGACATAATTGACTAAGAATTGAAAGCAGGGTGAGGAACAAGGGGGAAAACTTCAGTGAAGGCTACAAATTCCAAAATGTCCCAAGGAGCCACAGTAAAAGCAACAGCAGCAAATCCTGGGATATGGACTCAGGGTTCAGTGCTTCCCACAACAATCCAATCCAATCCAATCATATCCTACTCTATCCCATCCCATCCTATATAGTAAACCCTAATATGCAAATCGACCAAATGGCAGAGTGATCGGCAACACAACAGTCGCTATGATGTGCACTGACCACCAGGGGGCAGATGCTCAATGCAGGAGCTGCCCCCTAGTGGCCAGTGCACTCCCACAGGGACGGGCTCACAGCGCAGTGGTGGTGGTGGGAGCCTCTCCTGCCTCTGCTGCAGCGGGGTGGTAAGGAGCCAGGGGTCCCAGACTGCCAGAGGGTGCAGGCTGGGCTGAGGAAACCCGCCCACCCCCCAGTGCATAGATTTCATGCACAGGGCCTCTAGTATAGACAGACGAAAAAATAAAAAGCAAAATCCACAGAGGTACTAAGAAAGGGCCTAAAAATAACTGTTCTTGTTTGCATCCATGAGGAAAATAGATACAGAAGAGTTAAGATTATCAGCTCAAAGGAATCAGGTATTGTCACTGCTCCATTGGTTATTTTAAATCTCATTGTCTCTCCTATTAATGAACAATGTGAACTCCCTTGATTTTACCATAATAAAGACTTTTGGAGCCCAAGCTGCTCCCCAGCCCAGGAAATGTGACCAGAGCCTTCCTTCTAATTTATGAATACTTATCTTCAGTCAAGATAAGTATTCATAAATTAGATAAAGCCATCAGCAACTTCCCAGGACAGCTATAATGTAAAACCTATGAAATTTAGCCCTTTGTCTTCCAAGTTGCTTTATCTGTTCCGGTAGGCAAAGAAAAGTAAGTAATCTTCATGTACTGAAGCTGATCTATTTTGGAGTGCCAACTAATGCATCTTTTATTTTAGCCTCTCAGCTGCTATGGGCTCAAAGAACTCCCTTAGAGTGACAGGCAAAAAAAAATAAGGTCCATTTCTCTTCTCTGATACACTAAAGCTAAGGAAATAAAACACACAGCCATTTAAAATGCCGTTACCATGAAGCCCGAAAGCTCTGCTCCTTTTGCTTCCTGTAGGACTGTAACAATTTAGCAGCAGTAGCAGCAGGATGCCCCTAAGCAAGATAAGATGCAAGGACTCCTTGCTGGACTTCACAAAAACAGCCCAAGAGACCCATCCACTCACGTGTCCCCAAGTGAACCGGCAGTAAGACTGTAACCAGAGACGTGAACTTGGCCTAATGACAAACCACGCCAGAGAGGAAAGGACACTTTAAGGGATGTTCCTATCCATGCTCTCTGCTATGACCTCATGGGAGGATTCCAAGATATAAAAAATGTAAATAACCTTTCTCCAAAACTCCTAAATTCCCACTCCATTTTCAGCATACATAATCAAGTATTGGAAAACCATACATAAACAAGTTGTTTTCTTATTAACAGATCCCAATGTTTACATAAACCTTCTAAGGAAGACAGAAAACCTGTGATATTTTTATTTCACTATATTTTCTTTTGATTTGTTCACCTTGGTGGTACATAATAAACATCTAAGCTTTATTATATTTAAAATAAACCATTATAAATATGTCTAGCATATAAGTTTATTTGGTAAGAATTCAGCTTTTATAGTTAAGTTTAGTGGAATTTTTTTTTTTTAGTGTTAGATGAAATAATTGTGCATTTTACAACCAATGGCATCTTTTTTTTTTTTTTTTAAATATATTTTATTGATTTTTTACAGAGAGGAAGGGAGAGGGATAGAGAGCTAGAAACGTCAATGAGAGAGAAACATCAACCAGCTGCCTCTTGCACATCCCCTACCAGGGATGTGCCCGCAACCAATGTACATGCCCTTGACCGGAATCGAACCTGGGACCTTTCAGTCCGCAGACCAACGCTCTACCACTGAGCCAAACCGGCTTCAGCCCAATGGCATCTTTTAAAAAACATTTATTTAATTTGTATTGAACTTAATGGGGTGACATTGGTTAATAAAATTATATAGGTTTCAGGCATACAATTCTGTAATACATCATCTGTATATTGTTTTGTGTGTTTATAACCAACGACATCTTAAATTTCATGAAATAAGGCAGTGAACATTAAGTCAATACCCTTTCTTATTTTGTTATGCTGCTACCAAATACCATATTTTGGGGTAATGTAGTCACATTATAGCATCACCAGTTTTATGTTTCTTAATGTATCTTCTTAAATATCTTCAGTTTATTATAATTTTATGATAGAACATCCTCTAAGGCTGTCCATATATCAGATATTTATACTGACCAGAATGAATTTAAATTACATACAGCCCAAGACCCTATTTATAGCGCAAAGAACTCTTTTCACATCAAGTTAATCCTTACAATCAATTTAAGCTTGGGGTAGTTGTATTTCTCATTTTGCAATCCCTTAATGATGCAAATGATGTTTAATAATAATTATCTGTAAAGAACTAGGACCGATATGAAGATTTCTTAAGTGTGGTAGGCGGTTAGGGCAGCACAGCGATGATGGGCCACTAGGGTCGAAAGCCCCAGCAATGGGCAAAACTGGAAAAACAAGGACCTTGCCCCCAGGGTAACCTCTCACCTAGCGTTTTGCAGGTCAGGTGGCTCAGACTCTCCCATGACCTTTCCTCCCCTAGCATGTGGCTAGTCTGTGGGTTAGGCCCCCTTAGAGGGGGAATGAGTAAGAGAGCCGGGGGATAGCCCTTACACGTTAAACCTCCAGGACTTGAGGTTCTGATCCACATCAAATACATACAGGCCTCACCTGTGTTCCAGCTCCAGGCCCAGGATAGCAGCAAAACCAGACAAGCAAAGCCATGTAACTAGAGACTCAATAAGCAGGTCCAATCGCCAATAACATTGTTACTGCGCTGACTAATGGCTCCTGGTGCCAACCAACCAGTGAAGACTACAGCCCTGGACAGACACACCTGGGAAGCTGACGAGTATTCTATTGGGATCCTCCAAAGACCTCCAACTAAGCACCCTCCATGGGAGGACCCAGAGCACCTGGGGAAGGAGGTAGGTAAAGGGAAGCCTCTCCATAGAGAAGTCTCTATGGAGAGGCTTCCCTTTACCTACCTCCTTCGTAAAGGGAAGCCTCTCCATAGAGAAGTCTCTATGGAGAGGCTTCCCTTTACCTACCTCCTTCCCCAGGTGCGTTTGCCTTCCTTCTCTCCTTTCTCAGCTCCAGGGGCCCTTCGTTAGCCTCTGTGATGTGTTCCCTGAGCCCATGCAGCTCAGCTGGCTCACTGGTTCTACCCCTCCGACTTTCTAAAATAAACTTCTGCTTGTATCTGAGTCTTGGCTCTGAATTCTTTCTTGGCCAGAACTCAAGTACCAAGGGTGCTAAGCCAAGGTCCGATCACCAGTAACATTCCGGGTGCCATCTTGATGCCAACCTGAGGCCACCAGACGCTGGTATCCCGAGTTCTCTGACAGCCCAGGGACCTACTACACTTGGTCAAGCCTCAGCTCCCAGCAGGCCAGGCACTTGGAACACTGGCTGGAGTAACTCACCTTATTTTTTTGATATCTACTCATTCCGCCTCACTCAGTCGCTCTTATGTTCCTAACTTAAACGGTAAAAATATCTCGGAATCCTGACTTCAGATCTCATGCACAAATCCTACCTCACCACCTCAAATCACCCAGACTGAAGACATGAACAGGCTTGGTATAAAGGTATGAACTATGTGGGAAGCAGAAGGAGAGGATTGTAATCAATTAATCTGCAGTGCAGCTGGTTAAGAAAAGGGGCTCCAGCCCCAGCTGGTTTGGCTCAATGGATAGAGCGTTGGCCTGGGGACTGAAGGGTCCCAGGTTGGATTCCAGTCAAGGGCACATGCTTGGATTGCGGGCCTGATCTCCAGTAAGGGGCGTGCAGGAGGCAGCCAATCAATGATTCTCTCTTATCAATGACGTTTCTCTCTTTCCCTTCCTCTCTAAAATCAATACATTAAAAAAAAAAAAAAAAAAGTGGGGGGGGGGGCCCTCCGGAACCTTTTCGTTATTTTTGCTTCAGGATTAGGAGCGTGAGCACCCACAACTGTGTTCCAACCCCACTTCCAACCACCTGCCCCCGCGGTAGCCAGAATCCAGAGAGTGTTCTCGAAAAACACTCACTCAGCAGCTCCCTTGGCCAGTCCGGCCTGGCCATCTCGAGCCACTGCAGCTGCCCAGCAGCGTCAACAGCGCCCAAGCAGCTGCCCTCTCCCTTGCTGCTGCTTAATTTGAGGAGGAATAACAGTCCCGAGAAGAATGAGGGTATTCCTCGAGAGGGGGGACGGAAGGATGGAGGAAGGGACGTCTGACGTGCAGAGCATGAAGCAAGCCCCTCACTCTTCCTCTCTAGCATTTTCCGGGGTAACTGTGGGGAGGGGGCGATGGCCAGGCCAACGGTGAAGACACACAATCACCTCGGACCCGGACCAGTGCTCGCTGGGCTGTAATGAAGGAAGAAGAGGAGGAGGAGGAGAGCACGGGCTTTGGAGATGCCAAGAGCTGATTGACAACAATGCACACAAGTCAAGGCGAAGGTCATGGTCGCCGCGCCGCCTCCCCCACCCCGAAACAGACCTCGGATTCCCCCAGGGACCAAGTCTCCTCCGCAGGGGCGACCTTCCCGCCCCTCCGCTGGGAAACAACCGGCGCCTCAACTCCCCAGCCAGGCGGAAGCCGGAGGGGAGGCCCGACCTCCGAGGGCGCCCCTTCAGGGGGTCCATCCGCACTGGGTCGCGAGCCTAGCGGGCGGGGGGTCCGCGGAGGGCGGGGCATCGCCCCAACAGCCGGGAGCTGCATCCTGGCGGGGGCGGGCTCCCCACGGCCACAGAGCTGGAAAGCTCGCCCCTTCCACGCCACCGTCCCCCGGTTTACCTCTTCGCTCCTTCCTCGTCGGGCAGCTCTGGCTCGGTGGCCGCCATTACCACATCGCACTCCGCGGTAGCCGCCATCTTACCGCCTAGACCAGAGAGCCGGGTGGGAGGCCGGCGGTGAAGAAGAGCACTTCCGGCCGGGGCATCGAGTCGCGCCGCGGCGCTGTGCCCAGAGAGGCTCCCCCGGGCCCGTCTACCAGCGAGAGGCTCCGCTTGAGGCCAGAGCGGCCGCCCGCCCCCGGAGGTCCACGGCGGTCTCCGCGCGGGGGCGGGGCCCCAGGGACGGTGCCTGTGCGTGGGGGGCGCCACTTTAGCCGTGGATCGAAACGGAGTACAAGGAGGGTGTCGCCTCTGTAGACCTTGGCTGTCCTCAGTCTTCCCGGAGCCCCGTTGCCATAGCAACCCTTGAGCGTCTTCTGTAAGGTTGAAGGGGGGTGGGGTCTGAGTTGGGTGGGGACCCGGTCACCCAGGACTCTGGAGGGAAAGAGCCCCCCGCCGCTGCCTTCCCGGCCTCCGAGCGTGTCCCCAGCTTCCTCCCGGGAAAGGCAAGAAGAGACACTTGGAGCCCGCTTCCTGCAGCTTTCATCGGCCCCTTGGAAGCCCTGCCCAGTCAAGCCTGGGGTACGCGGGGCGTCTTCACCCCGCGCCTTTCATCCCCCCGGCTCTCCACGCACCAGCTGGTTCATCACCCCAATGACGCTGACCCTTTTATGATGCTGCTTTCATGTCAGCCGCCTGGGAGTGCCATCTCAGCATCAGGCCCAGGAAGAGTGGCACAGCGCCCCAGACCCTGCCCTGGAGTTTATAAGGCAGCTCGCAGGGTGAGGTCCCTGCCCTGGTGTCCCCAGCATTCCCACCCCTTGTAAACACTCTCTGCTCAGCACGTTTGTCTTGCTGAATGCAGTCTGGACTGGGGACTCTTCGAGGGCAGGGACACAGCCTAGCCATCTTTGTGGTATTTAGCCTCACCCAAACCAATAATATTTGTGGATTTGAATTGAATTGGGGTTTTCTGAGGTTAAATTGGGGGAGTTTGAGGTTAAAATTTGAGACATAGCCCTACCTGGTCTGGCTCTGTGGACAGAGCATCAGCCTGCGGACTGGAGGGTCGCAGGTTCGATTCCGGTCAAGGGCACATGCCTGGGTTGCAGGCTTGATCCCTAGTAGGGAACGTGCAGGAGGCAGCCGATGAATGATTCTCTCTCATCGTTGATGTTTCTATCTCTCTTTTCCTCTCCCTTCCTCTCTGAAATCAATAAAGATATATTAAAAACAAATTTTGAGATATATGGGGAAATAATAAAGGGGCAAGGGAACTCAAAAGGGATCTTATCCTCTTCCTCCAGTAAAACTATGCCATTGTCCATAGGCTGCTTGCATGATCCCTGCCTATCAGAGTGCCAAGGAAGCTGACGCCAAAATCACCGTTAGGTAGGGGAGAATGGGAAGGCTCAGTGGGTTGGAAGAGAGAGGTAATTTATCCAGCCCTCTCCCAAGTCCCTATTCTAGCTTGGGAGGACACAGACTCACCACCTGCCCTACCTGCCAGTGGCTCACAGTCTACAATCTAACACAAGAGATAATCCTTCACCATCTTCCCACTTTGTGTTCTCTGTTGATATCTCCAACCTACACCTCTCTTCTGAGTTCAGATCTGTATGTCCAACTATCTACTGGTATCTTTTGGATGTTTCACAAATCCCCAAGCTTAACATATTTAAATGGAACTGTCATTCTCTCCCCAGCCCTCCACAACAGAAAAAACAACAAATGCTGCACTTGATTCTCTTCTGCTAAGCTCCTTATCTTGTTGAATGGATTCATCATTCACTTGCTCATCAAACGAGACAGATGGAAAACATCATGAATTCCTCTCTCGTTCTCACTCCTGACTCCCAATTTAGCATCAAATCTTGATTCTCTTACCAAAAGTCTCCCAAATCTATCATCTTTCCATCCCAGTTCTGGCTCTTGATATCTTTTTTAACTTGGAATAGTATCCAAGTTTCCCCACTGGCACACAACCCCCCCCCCCCCCCCCCCCCCCGTCTCATCTCTTTGCAATCTTCAGTCCTCTGCCAGACTGGACCTTAAAAGCAAAAATGGGCTAAGACCGGTTTGGCTCAATGGATAGAGCCAAAGGTCCCGTACTTGTAGTTCCAGAAAAATGCCATGATTCTCTGCCATGTTTTATATATATATATATATATATATATATATATATATATATATATGATTTTACAGAGAGGAAGGGAGAGGGATTAGAGAGCTAGAAACATCAATCAGCTGCCTCCTGCACATTCCTGCTCCTGGGGACGTATCTGCAACCAAGGTACATGCCCTTGATGGGAATCAAAACTGGGACCCTTGACTCCGCAGGCTGACGCTCTATCCACTGAGCCAAACCAGTTAGGACTTTGCTATGCTTTCTTCATCCTTTTCTCCCAAGTCCTTCCAACCTCAACACAGACATAACCGACTCCACTGCCCACCGCCCCCGCGTTAAATGCCCCCACGTCTGCAGTGTCCCTGTGGCCCCTGTAGCAGCTCTCACCGCGCCGTCATGTTTGGGTTAAACGTCTGCTCCTCCAGGCAGTGACTTTCCAGCGGGCAGCGAGGGTGAATAACTCGTCTCCTTTTCCAGGTACGCGGTCCTGTAGCTGCACAGAATCGGTGCTCACGATACACTGGATGAATAATCGATTGCATCAAGGAAGCATCACTGCACTCCGGCAGCCTTAGGAGAAAGGACACCTGGGCATCCGACCAAGAGAACGGCGCCCCGCGTCCAGGGAGCCCAGGGCCCGCGCGCCCCGCCGCGCCCCGCCCGTCCGGGCCCCGGGTGTCAGGTCCCCCGCCGGCCTCTGGGGGCGCTGGGCGGCCGGCGCCGGCTCCCTGCCGCCGGAATTCGTCTTGGGGGACAGAAGCTGGGGTTGGGGGGCGGGACCGGACAGAGCCCGGATGCACCCGGAAGGACGGCGTCCCGGCGGCCGTGCTGCCCCTCCCCTGATCCCGGTGCTTCTGGGGCCGGCCTGGGGCGCTGCGAGGGCCCGGCAGGTGCGGAGCTGGGTGGCAGGTCTTTGCCGCCGTTCAGTTCCTCCGGGGATGGGGGTGGGGGCGCCCCCTCGAGGGGAAGCCTGTGGCGGAGGCCCCCGGGCTCTCTCTTGGGGTACCTGCTAGTCGTGGAGCTCAGTCTGTGGGACGCTTTGGGCACGGTAGGAGGGTCTGTACCTGGAGTTTCCTCCGCAGAGGATTCTGTTTGGAACCCCTTTGGGGAACGATCTCTCTGTTCTCTGGAGGAATCTGGGGCTGCTTGTGGGAAGCCTGGCTTTTGGGATGCCTCCGGGGAGAAGGGGTTTCTGTGTCTGAGCCCTCTCTTCTGGGTCTGCCAGCCCAAGGGCGGCAAACCGTCTCTTTTCTGGAGCCTTTCTTTCCTTAGACTCCTTCACTTCTTTTTTTTTTTAATTTTTAATATATATTTTATTGATTTTTTAACAGAGAGGAAGGGAGAGGGATAGAGAGTTAGAAACATCGATCAGCTGCCTCCTTCACAATCCCTACTGGGGATGTGCCTGCAACCAAGGCACTTGCCCTTGACCGGAATCGAACTGGGGACCCTTCAGTCTTCAGGCCAATGGTCTATCCACAGGCCAGTGGTCTATCCACTGCGCCAAACCGGCTAGGGCGAGTTAGACACATCATTCCAACATACACCCTGACCAGAGGAGAGGGCAGTGCTGGACCCCCGAGGCTCCCCGTGCAGCTCAGAACGTGGGCTCTGCTTGGATCCCCTCACCAGGGTGCTGCTGCTCTGTAAGGCTGGAGGCCAAGCATGGGGAAGAGTTGCAAGGTGGTCGTGTGTGGCCAGGCCTCTGTGGGCAAGACGTCGATCCTGGAGCAGCTCCTGTACGGGAACCATGTAGTGGGTGAGTGCGTTGTTTGGCGGGAGGGGTGGGGGAGGTGCATGGGGAGGGGACGGTGGAAGAAATTGAAGAACAAGGACTAGGATTTAATAACACAGAGAAGCCAAAATCTGCTCCTGGAGTACAGTCTGCAGCATGCCCTCCATCTCTCCAGCACTGAGACGTGAGGAAGGAAACAGTATCTGGGGTAAGGAGGAGGAACTCCCAAGGCTCACTTTTGCTCAGCATGGCGTGAACACACGGCGAATGTCTGTTCCCCAAACCATTCCAGTCCTGCTGGATGCAGTCTGGCCCCCTCCTCTCGGCCCCCACCTTCCTCTCCCTCCCTGTCCGTCCGGTCAGCCTGACCGGATACCCTCGGTCACTCGGGTTGTCCCGTCTCCCTGCTCCCTGCAAAGAAGCGTCCTCGTTTCCTCTCAGGCTCTGAGATGATCGAGACCCAGGAGGACATCTACGTGGGCTCCATCGAGACGGACCGGGGGGTGCGGGAGCAGGTGCGCTTCTACGACACGCGGGGGCTCCGGGACGGGGCGGAGCTGCCCCGGCACTGCTTCTCCTGCACCGACGGCTACGTCCTGGTCTATAGCACCGACAGCCGCGAGTCCTTCCAGCGCGTGGAGCTGCTCAAGAAGGAGATCGACAAGTCCAAGGACAAGAAGGAGGTGCGTGCGGGGGGCCCCTCCGGGAGGCATGGCGGGGCTCTGTTTTGCACTCATGTCCTAGGAGGTGGGTGAGGAGCTGGAGGAGGGATCGAGGCCCCTAGAAGGTGTCTCCCCCACAGAGGTGGCCCCGTGCTGAGGCAGCTCCACCGAAAAGGCTTCCGTTGAAGCGCTCCCTGGCCTAACACGGGAAGCCCCCATTGGTCCTTCTTCTTACCAGCCCCACACTCTCACTTAGGAAAGCCTTTTTTATTTTATTTTTTTTAATTTTTTTTAGTTTTATTGATTTTTTTTACAGAGAGGAAGAGAGAGGGAGAGAGAGTTAGAAACATCGATGAGAGAGAATCATCAATCGGCTGCCTCTTGCACACCCCCTGCTGGGGATGTGCCCGCAACCAAAGTATGTGCCCCTGACCGGGATCGAACCCGGGACCTTTCAGTCCGCAGGCCGACGCTCTATCCACTGAGCCAAGCCGGTTTCAGCATCTTTTGTAGTTAAGTCCCCCTTGTAAGCTGTGGGTGTTATTTAGCCAGACTTGAACTGACTGCCGGTCGTGAGCAGGCATGGGCCATTCGGGGCTTGTCATGGAACCCCATGGCGAGAGGGCCTGATGGAGGCCAGAATCTGAAGAGAGGAAGGAGAGGAAAAAGCAACAGTCTCCCTCCCCCTCGCTTCATAGTCCCTAATACAAGAAGCGAGATCAGCCATTAAAACTTCCCTCCTCTGTGGACTCCCGGGTGGTGGCCAGCCGTCACACCCACCCCCAAGGTCCCGGGCACACCCACAAGTCCCTCCTCTGTCCCTCCTCCCCAGGTCACCATCGTGGTCCTCGGCAACAAGTGCGACCTGCAGGAGCAGCGGCGTGTGGACCCGGACGTGGCGCAGCACTGGGCCAAGTCGGAGAAGGTGAAGCTGTGGGAGGTGTCGGTGGCGGACCGCCGCTCCCTCCTGGAGCCCTTCGTCTACCTGGCCAGCAAGATGACCCAGCCCCAGAGCAAGTCCGCCTTCCCCCTCAGCCGCAAGAACAAGGGCAGCGGCTCCCTGGACGGCTGAAGAGCCGCCGTCCCGTCTTCGCCTTCCCGGCCCCGGCCCGGCTCCGGGGGCTCTGGAAGATGGGCTGAGGGGAGAGGGGAACTCTCTCGTCCCAGGCTCAGGCTGCTCTGGCTCCCTCCTAACTCCGGGAAGTGCACATAATCTAGGTTAGCGCCCCCAACCTCTCCCTCCACCCCAGCTTCCATCGTATCTGCCCCTCTGGGGACCGGGGGCAGATGTGGGTCAGGGTCCCTTCCACCTGCCCTGGTCGGGAAGCAGAGCTACCTACCACCATGGAAGTGCCACGTCTGGGGTCTGGTTCTGATCACGGGTCCCACACTTCTGGGCTTCTGCCACAGACACACACACACACACACGCACAGGGCACCAGCCTGGACTCCAGGGATAGGGCGTCCAGGTACCGCGTATGCGTGTGCCTGTTGGCGTTTAGGGGTGCCTCCTCACCCAACACCCTGGCCTTTTTCCCTGTCTGCACCTTGGCTGGAAGAAGCCAGCTTCCTGGGAAGTGTGATTTTCAACTTGACCTCCCGCCCCAATTGTTTTCACTTCCTCTTCCTGCTTCATTGGTCGAGGTGGAAGGGAATGATGACTGGGCTGAGTCACGAGGGGCTTTGTTACCCAGCAAGGCTTTTTTTTTTTTTTCTCTCTCTCTGAGCTTTAGTTTTCTTATCTGTACAGCGACAGGGGCTGCTTCGATGGCTTCTAGGTCCTCTCCAGCCCTGTGGTTTCAGAATGCCCCTGGCTTGCGGCCAGCTGACTGTCCCCTTCCTTCTCCCTCTTTCAAGGTGCTATGCCTACCGGCCCCGGAGGCTGGGACACTGCTCTCTGGCAACCGCCAGGGGGCAGGAGTGCACTATCTACTCTAGTTGCCAGCCTGGCTGCTTTAGTGCCCCGTGGGGAGCCTCATACCCCTGGGGGCTGGTCTTCACGCCTTCCTGTGGTTGTCTTCAGCTCTTGGCTGGACTTTATTTATAGATTTACCTGTTAATCAGTTCCTATGCTGCATGGTGAAGGCTGGACAAGGTGCTCCTCTAGCCCTTCTTTACCTCAGATGCCTCAACAGAACAAGAACAAGGCAGACGAGGGGTAACTTCTCGGGAGTGGACAGATCTGTTGGGGCTCAGAAGGGTGGTTACACTCTCCGCACGCTATCAGGTGAGCTCATGACCCACAGCTTCCCGGGCCCGTTTCGTGCTTCTGATGGGCACCGCAGTCCCGGGTGAGCCCCTATAGCCGGGCCACCTCCAGTGCCCGCCCCTCCCCCAAACAGGAGAGGTGAGCAGGGGCAGACGGTCCCAGGCTGGGCGAGTCAAGTGAGGGCATATGCAGGCTCGGGCTTAAAGTTCATTTATTGATGCATTGGACACAATAAAACCACAACTGTTATCAAAAAGTTTTTTTCCCTCCCATTCGCCCCTTACTGTCCCATTGGAAATATCTTTTTTTTTTTTTTTTTTTTTAAAGATACAGGTGGATACTGGCAAAGTCCCGTATTGTGGGGTGGGGGGTGGGAGGGCAGTGCTGGGATAGGATGGAGGTTGTGGCGTTAGCATGGACACGGGTCTGTGGTTATCAGGCTGGATCCCAACTCAGCTTCACAGTGAGGGAGGCTTGGGGTGCTGTCGGTTGGGAGGAGGGAGAGCTGATTCGTGCGAGGGACCCGTTGGGGTTGGATAGCTAGAGGAGTAAAGCTCTTTGTGTGGGAGGCCTGGGAGGGACTCAGTGTTAGCCGGGTCCATAGTCTGAGGGAGACACCCAGGGTCCCCCTCCCCAAAGCTGGGGTTCAGGAGAAATGGGTAAAAGGCTAAGGGGACTGGTCACTTCCTCTGTAAAAAGGGCCCGGCCAGGACGTCACCACCACCCCTGTCCCAGCCCCATCCCTTTGGGAGGACCCTGAAAGCTTCCAGCACCATGGCTGTGCCCCCCCCCCCCGCCCCGCCCCAGCTCGGCTGCCCTCCTCCTCCAGCCTCCCACCGCGCCCCCATGGCCCTCGTGTCCAGATTGCCTAGAACCCACTCCGGCCGGAGAGCCCGTCCCTCACCGTGTCCTTCTCCAGAGAAGCCGGTGCAGGGGGAGGGCGCCCCTGAGCACAGGAGGAGGGGCCAGTCACAGACAGGATTTCTAGGGCCTTCGGCCTTGTGGGTGTAGGTCTTGAGGGGAATGAGAGCACCGTGGGGCTGGGGTTTTGCATAGATCTTGGGGATTTCTCCGTTTGCTCCCTGTCAATGGGGCTGGAAGTGCAGGGAGCCCAGGACTGGAAGGCTGGGGGACTGAGGGTGGGCATGGCCCTGGGGCCAGGGGGTGATAGCTGACTCCCCAGTCAGATGGAGTGAAGGGCACCTGTCCTTCCAACCAGCCCAGTTCTTCCTGGGTTGGCCAGGAACCCCTCCCCCGTGGGATGTAGGAACGGAGGCGTTCCGGGGAGGGGCAGGTGGGGAAAGGGACCGCTGGGAAGGCGGCCCTGGCCCCCCTAGAAGGGCTAATAGGGGGCAAAGAGGATGGGTCCCGTGGCGGGGCGCACAGCTCCCGCTGGGGCGCGGAACAGAGCCGGGCCCAGGATGGGAGCCGGGAAGAGGGTGGTGGCCGGGGCCGGGGCCGGCCGGAGGGCCAGGGGCCCAGGCAGGGCACAGATGGCCGCAGCTGCGGTGGGGATCGGGCTGGGCAGGAAGCGGGCTGCCAGCGTCTTGGTGAGTTGCTTCTGCAAGGCCAGCTTCGACTGCAGAGGAGAAAGAGAGGACTGGACACAGCCTGGCCCCAGAGCATGCCCCCTGCCCTGGGCTCCGTCCGTGGGCTTTCTGCTGCCGGATACCCTGCCTCTGAGGGTTCCGGACTAAATCGTCCTTCACTCCCGCCCCCAAGCATTCATTCCAGAGGGCTTTCTCCACCACCTGTCCTCCCGCCCCCAAGGAAGGGAACCCATCGGGATGGGCCTGGGAGGAGGCTGTGTTGGGTGGAGGTGGAGATGGCTTCTAGGAGATGGCGCGCCCACCCCTCGCTCTTGCCCGAGATTCCTACCCAGGCCTGCGTCCCGAAAAGTCCTCTGGGCAGATCCCAAGGGAGCCAAAACCCACCCCCAGGCAGCCTCGTTAAGGGTGGTTCTATTCCTGCCTCAGCTCCCCAGAAGGACCCCCCCCCCCCGCCCGCCTTCCCTTGACCAGGGTCCCAGCCCCGTTGCCCGGAGACAGATACCTTGAGGATACTCACAGCCAGCGCAGCGTGCTTCTGCAGCTTGCTGTGCTGGCTGGAGGGCTTGGGGGGCTTCCCGGCCAGGCGGTCTTTGTGCCTCCTGCTGCTCAGGTGCTAACGGGCAGACAGACCGACAGACAGACAGACTGGGAACAAGATGAGGAAGCCCAAGGACCCCCAACCACCCCATCGTCCTCAACTAGCTCACCCTTCTCTACCTACAGTTCGCACATGGATCCTACAAGTATTGGGCATCACCCGGAGTGGCCCCGGGGAGGGGCAGTGAGACTTGGCCTCTGTCTCCAGGAGTCCCCTGTCCCACCAGCCTGGCTCCCCTCCCTCCTCCTGGCCCTGCCCTACCCACCTCCTCTCCTCAGCTCCCTCTTTCCTCCTCCCCTGCACTGGGCCCGCTCCCTCACCCCTGCTCCAACCCTGGTCCCGGCCTCCCGTCTCCCACCTGCTTGAGCTGGGTCTCTGAGTTGACCTGGAGCTGGCAGACAGCACAGTGGAAAGGGGGGCTGGGCCCCTGCCGGCCCCGCCGGCCCCCGGCCACTCTCTTGGCTTTGTGTCCAGCTCCTCCCCGGGGCACCGGGCGGCCCCGGCCCCTTCGGGGAGCCCCTCGCTGGCCTTCCACCATCCACCGGTGCTTGGCTCCTGGTGGGAGGGGAGAAGAAGGTCTGTCAGCACCGAGGAGGGCTGCACGGCCATGGGGACCCCTCCAAACCAGGCCAGCCTGGCTGTCCCTTTAGCTTTGGGACTGCTCAGCACATACACCACCCCCCCTCCCCCCCACACACACATATGAGACTCCTCTTTCCATCCCCACAAGGTCCTCTCATTTCAAGCCACCCCCAGGGAAGGCCTTCTTGCAATGGAACTGGCCAGCTTCCTTCTCTAGTCTCAGCCCCTCCCTCTGGCCTGAGCTAAGGAGAGAGGGAGACAGTGTCTCCTATGGTCTCTGCAGTGACCCTTCAGTCCTTGTGTCTCTCCTCAATGCTCCCTCAAGCCTTAGTGGGAGGTCCCGAGTGCATGCCCAGTAACAACTGAGCTCAATGTTTCAGGTTACCAAGTCCTTGAGCAAAGCGCCAGAAGTCCCAGCCCGCCCTCCTCTGGTGAGGGGCAGTCTCCGGCCCTTCTCCTTCCCCCGGACTCCAGCCGGCGGGCTCCGGCCAGCTGGGCACACTCACCCGTGGGCACACTCACCCGTGTTGTGAGCCTGAAGCTGGGAGGCGGAGTTCACCGTCACCTTACACGTGGGGCAGTAGAGGCGCCCCTTCTCACTCCTGCCTTCCCCACTCACTCCACTTCCCACGGCAGCCGCCGCGGGCTCGGGCCCCGGGGCCTCGGTCCCGGGCTCTGGGGAGCAGGGTGGGCAGGAGGAAGCAGAGGAAGAGGAGGCAGCGTCCAAGAGGCCTGCGTGGGCGGGCTCCCCGGCCATGGCGTCGGGCGTCCGTGGCGGCTGGAGCGGGGGGCCCGGAGGGGGGTCTGCAGGAACGGCTGGGGAGGTGGGAGGCGTTGGGTAAGAGGGTGAGCCCGGAGCTGAGTCTCCAGGCCATGGTTTTAAGCACTGACATCGGGGGTGGCATGGCAGAGTGGACAGGTCACTAATGCGGGAGTGACCAGCGCTGAATTCCAGACCTACTCTACCATCCAGCTCACCGAGCAGACCTGGGCCTCTTTGGGCCTCGGTTTCCCCATCTGAAATCACAAAAGTTGGGCAGCGTGACCTCAGCCCTCCTCACGGCCCTGATAGTTCAGTTACTAGCTGTTAAATAAACGGAAATGTAAAAAGGTACTGGAGTGTGCATAGAGCACCATTCATACTAGCATGAAACTGGAAACTATTCAAATGCCCATCAATAGGAGAATAGGTTTTTTAAAAATCATTCGGTCCTATAATGGAATACTACATGGCAACGGAAAAGAACCAAGTACAGCTACCACCACAGCACCGAGGGAGAATCTCATGAATGTTCATGAAAGATGAACAAAAGCCTATATTCTACACAGTTTATCAAAACCTTATGCAGAGCTGAAACCAGTTTGGCTCAATGGATAGAGCGTAGGCTTGGGGACTGAAGGGACCCAGGTTCGATTCTGGTCAAGGGCATGTACCTTGGTTGCGGGCACATCCCCAGTAGGGGGGGTGTGCAAGAGGCAGCTGATCGATGACTCTCTCATCGATGTTTCTATCTCTCTCCCTTCCTCTCTGTACAAAATCAATAAAATATATTAAAACAAAAACAAACAAACAAACAAAAAAAACCTTATGCAGAGAAGTCAGGATCGTAGTTACCCTGGGGGGAGGGGTGTAGGTGGTCGGATAGTGTCACCCCCAAATTCACGTCCCTCTAGATCAGTGGTTCTCAACCTTTCTAATGCCGCGACCCTTTGATACAGTTTCTCATGTTGTGGGGACCCGCAACCACAAAATTATTTTTGTTGCTGCTTCATAACTGTCATTTTGTTGCTGTTATGAATCATAACGTAAATATCTGTTTTCCGATGAGTGACCCCCAGATTGAGAACCGCTAGCAGGGTCACCTAAGACGCATCCACAAGCCAAGGAACGCCAAGCAACCGGCAGAGGCTAAAAGAGGGGCATGAGACAAATCCTCCCTCTCCATCCCACGAAGGAAGCCACCTTGTGGACACCCTGATTTCAAACTTCTGACCTCCAGAAACTTCTGCCCAGTTAGTGGTCATTATAGTTCCTACGAAACTATTACAAGGTAGTGCCTGGAAGGGGCCCACGGTGGGCTGCTGGGTGCTTGGGAGAAGTTTCCTAATCTCAATATATTCAGCCAGGAACGTTCACTGAGCTGTGCACTGTGATGTGTGCCTTGTCCCTGTAGGAAAACTCCAGCACAAGCAGACGTAACAATAAGACCTCTCTCAACCCCCCGTCAGAAATCAGACTTGGCGTGGGGGCGGGAGAAGAGTTCAGGACTGACCTTTACGCTGAGGCTCTTCGGGGCCTCCGCTGGCCACGGCCGGGGCCGGGGTCGGGGACACCAGCGTCCCGTCCTGGGCCAGGGTCTGGGGCCTCTGCTTGCTCTTGGCGGCTTCAATCGCCTTGAGTTTTCTGGCGTGTTTGTGGCCTTTATAATGTGCTTCGGCCTGGTTCTGGGGTGGGGAGGGTAGAAGGTCACCATTTGTTCTCTGAGTCTACGTGTCCTGTCCACAAGCTGGCCTTGGACCTGGGGCGGGTCAGAGTGAATCCTCGTCACCGCCATCATCGTCACAGTGTGTGCATGGCCCTGAGGTCTACAGAGCACACACTCATAGGTGAGCTCCCAGGCAAGCAGCCCCGGGCTTTCAATTCTGACTCAGCCACTGAGTGGCTGTGCATCTTTGGGTAAGTCACCTCGCCTCTCTGAGCCTCAGTTTCCTCACTCACACTCTGCGTAAACACCGATCTCACAGGACTGAGAATTAAAGGAGAACCTGAATGATCAGTGCCTCGTTCTTACAGTAGGTGCTCAATGAATGTTAGTTACCAAGTTTATACATGCACAAAGGGAGAAAACCGAGCAACCCCCATCCTTCGGGAGATGTGCACCCCAGAACATTCATCCCACATTTTCAACAAATAGTTACTGAGCATTGGCTGTGAAGGGGCCCAGCATAAACACACAGATCTTCTCTCCGAGTGAAGTCTCTCTGCCCAGCTGGTTCACAACTTGTAACCTGAAAGCCTGGAGGAACCCCCATATCTGTCCTCCTTCCTTCAACCAGGGGTCCCTGCTTATTGCTCCCAAATACAGCAAAGACAGGCACCTAGACACCTTCACTAGAACAGGTCAGCTGAGAGCATCTCCCCAAATTCCAGAGCTGCCCAGACAGAGGGTAAACCTTCCCTGAGAAGCCAGAGAGAGGCCCCTTCACTCTCCAGGGGCAGGCTAAGGTAGACAGGATGCAGGCCTTGGGGTCAGCCAGGCCCGGGTTCAGATCCCAGAAGCCCCAGCTCCGGCCCTCTCCCTGCCCAGCCGCTCCCCAGCATGTTTCCACTGCTCCTCTCACCGCGGAGTTGAACCTCAGGTGACAGATGTTACAGGAAATGAAGAGCTTCTTCTTCAGAGGGGAGGGGACCCCGAAGGTGTGGCTGATGACAGCTTTCTGGACCGGGTCCATCTGTGAAGGGGGAGGCACAGTAACTCTGGGGCTGCCCGGGAAGGGGGCAGTATCACACGCCCCAAACTAACGGCTGTCCAGGAGGGCAGCGGTCACCCTGAGGAAAACTTCCCCGTCCTGGTGATGCCAGACCCAACAAGAGAAACAGCCTCGTCCCTGGCAGGCTTCTCTGTCAGCCTGGCTTCTGCGTGGAGGCAGGGGGATGGCCAAGGTCACCTCCATGATCTCAAGAAACAGACCATGTCCTGGTGGTCACCTTAGCATTTCATGCTGCCTCTGGTCTCTGTTTTTTATTTTTATTTTCTCATTCACAAGAATCTATATGGCGACAGATTGTTGGGGGGAGGGAGAGCAGGGCGGGGACAGAATCCCTCTGTGGGAATTTCCTCTCCGGTAACCCAGCCTTGTGCTGGACCTAATGGCTGGGGAGATCAGGCTTCTCTTATGAGCCCTGCCTCTGCCGCAGGGCCTGAGAGGGAGAGGAAGCCCTGGCTGGGGGCAGTGGGGGGCCAGGATGGAGCAGGTGACAGCAGGTAGAGGCTGGAGGGTTCCCTGAGTAGAAGAATCATTTCTTTGGGATGTTAATGTGTGTGTCCTTTTCTTATTTTAAATAAATTTTTCTTCTCTTTTCTCAGGGCCAAGAAGTGGAAGCCATCTGAGCTTGCTTGTCCAGAACTTTCTGTTCTCTTCTCTCAGGAAGACAGGGAGAGAAAAGCATGGTTTCGGGAACTTCCCTGAGAACAGAAAGAGGTTCTAATTCCCACCGGGGCTGGGCAGCAGGGGGCAGGGTCTCAGAGAATGGCCAGCAGGGCCCCAGCGATCAGGACAACAGTGCTTCACTCGTTCCTGAGGGTCCATGGGCCCAAACAGTGAGCACGCCAGCCAATGAGAGCAGGAACCTCTGACCAGAGGACCCTCCCAAATGTGCCTGGTTCCTGGGGACCTCTGCACAACGCTGGAGGGCAGGCAGGCAGGAAGGGATGCTGACTGAAGCCAAATTCCCCACCATCTGGTCAGGGTGGGGTGGGGCTCATTGATGATTACGTTTGATTTTTCAAAATTAACAAGGGGGAGCATTCCTATGGCTCATGTAGTGAAATCTAATTCATGCTCACCACCCTTGTTCCTCACACACATACACACACGGAAATACACAGACAGCACATGAGCTGACAGCTACAGGTGACAGAGACATGCAGAATAATACACACGCCAGTGGCAGACAAGCACAGACAAAGGCACCATCACCCAACCCACACAAAACACACACAGAGGTCAGACACACACCAAAACACACACAGTCAACACGAAGACACAAAACGCCTCTCAGATACCCAGAAACACATATTACCTACCGAGAAACAAATAGTTGTTCACACACACACACACACACACACACACACACGGGACACCAACACACATCCACACCCACAAACAACGCACAAAGACCTATGGGTTTACACACTAACACAGAAAGGCACACTCAGTTGCACATACTCATACACAAGTCATCCATAGAAGTCGCTATACCAAAACTCAAGTGAGATCTACAGTACAGACCCTACAGGCCCAGCAGTTGTTATTGGGGGGACATCGTTCTCCCCTTGCCCAGAGGGCTGGGCCTGGGGTGGGGGGTGTCTCTATTTTGGGAGCACCTAGTCTCTTGGGGATGTTGGAGGAAAATGAGCTCCTGGTTAGACCCACCTTCTGAGAACCGGCCCATCGGAGCCCACCTTCCATGCCCACCCCCAGCCTGGCTGCATGCCCCCGCCCGCCGGCCTGGCCCGTACCGTGCTGAAGTTGGGGAAGAGATTGAGCGGGGCGGCGCCATTGAAGTGGAAGGCGAGCAAGTGCTTGAAGTCCAGCGGGGGCTGCAGGGGCCTGGCAGCCAGGGGCAGGGAGGCCAGCAGGGGGCTGGGGGTGCTGGACGCTGGGCCTGCTGCAGGAGGAAGAAGGGCAGGGTCTGAAACGGGGAGCCACAGGACAATCCTAGCCCCACAGCCCGAAGAAGCTGGTGGGCTTCTTGGGTGTGAAGCCAGGACGGAGTTCCTGTCTCCCTCTTCGCAAAGGAGCCCTGGCCAAGCCCAGGGCAAGTACAGCCCACCTCTGTGCCCTCTCCTCTCCACAGCGGGGGCAGCAGAGGCAGGGAATCCACAGCGTAGGGCTCCCAGCCCAGAAGGATGACCCTCCCACCCTTACAGAGGCCCGGATGAATGCTTAAGGGCAGCCAGGCCAAGGGAGGGGACCGAGGCATCAGGGCAGGCCCCTGACACACACACACCACATGGAGACCGCACAGGAGCTGCAAATTAAACCCAAACCCAGGAGGCCCGGGGTGAGGCCATGCCCTCCCTTCTCACTTCCCCTCTCCCGACCCCCACGTCATGCCCAGCAAGGGCTGTCAGAGAGGATGGGAAACCCTTAAAATCTGAAGGGACGTGTCCCCCAGCGCTGGTGAGGCCCCACTGCTTCCCCCAGGAGGCACAAAGCCCTCCATTGGCACCCCTGGGCCAGGCCTGGAAGCAGGGGTGGGGGTGAGGGTGGGGGTGGGAATCGGGGGAACACTGCGGTTTTATAGTCTTTGGTCTTAAAGGTCTGAGGCAAGGAACTTGGGAGAACAACCAGACTTGAAAAAAGAAAAAAATTAGTAACAAGACCTTTTCCCTTGGGACGTTTTTGGACCCTATCCCTGCAGAACGAAAAGAAGTCCTTTTAGGTTTATGTGCTAACGTTATGAAAAATAGGACAGATTTATTTCATATTTATAGGCTGACATATCTATATACATGGTCATATACATGAAAACCTCAGGCAGCCCTGGTGGGAGGAAGGAGGGCACCACTGCCTGTCTTGAAGTGTTAGCTGCGCGCAGAGTGCTGTGCCAGAAACAAGGACAGCCGGGGCCGGTTTGGCTCAGTGGATAGAGCATCGGCCTGTGGACTGAAAGGTCCCAGGTTTGATTCTGGTTAAGGGTATGTAACTTGGTTGCAGACACATCCCAGTAGGTAGTGGGCAGGAGGCAGCTGATTCATGTTTTTTCTCTCATCTCAGTCGATGTTTCTGACTCTATCCCTCTCTCTTCCTTTCTGTAAAAAAAAAAAAAAATCAATATAATATATATATTTTTAAAAAGACACAGTATTCGCATCCAGTTCCATTTCTAAAAAAAAAAAAAAAAAAAAAGGAGGAGGAGGAGGAGGAGGAGGAGGAGGAGGAGAAGAAGAAGGAGGAGGAGGAGGAGGAGGAGGAGGAGGAGAAGAAGAAGAGGAAGAAGAAAAAAGAAGAAGAGGAAGAAGAAAAAAGAAGAAGAAGAAGAAGAAGAAGAAGAAGAAGGAGGAGGAGGAGGAGGAGGAGGAGGAGGAGGAGGAGGAGGAGGAGGAGGAGGAGGAGGAGGAGGAGAAGGAGGAGGAAGAGGAGGAGGAGGGGGAGGGGGAGGAGGAGGAGGGGGAGGAGGAGGGGGAGGGGGAGGAGGAGGAGGGGGAGGAGGAGGAGGAGGAGGAGGGGGAGGAAGAAAGAAACAAGGACAGTGGTCTGCTCTCCGGTGGGACCTGGAGAGAAGGGGCGCTGCCAGGAGTGGGGCTGAGAAAGGCAAGGACCACATCCTTCTTTCCCCCAATCCCTTCATTCTGGAGCCCCAGTCTTCCTGCCTCCAATCAAGAATCCCCTCCCCCAACAGTTTTAGGGCCAAAACTTGGGATGAATCCAAAGAGAAAAAAGGGTGAGCTGCTCCTCACCAAACTCTAGAATTGTCAGGAGCAAGAGTTAGGGTGCCCAGGCCCTAGCATCTCTGCCCATTGCCCAGGCCCCCCTGGACCCGTCCTTCCTCCACAGCCCACAGCCCACAGGGCTGGGCGAGTCCTCAGCGTGGAGCAGAGGAAGCACGGGGAAGGCGAACAGAAGGCCGCAGTCCGTAAGTCAGCCCGGATGCAGCATGGGCAAGGCTGGCTTGGCCCTTAGCGTACCCAGCGCCCCAGGCTGGCCGGGTAGAGAGGGAAGGCGGCCGCCCTCACATGAGCTGCGACCCCAGCAACCCCTCCGCCCACCCGCTCTCTAAGACCTCCACGGCCAGTGCAAAGTCAAACTCGTGCAGCGGGGGGCCATCCACGGCGATCTTGACCACGGGGTCGCCCCGGCCTTCGCCGGCGGCCCCGCTTTGCCCCCCACACCAGCGCAGCTCCCTGCTGCGGCCGACCTTGTCCAGGAGGCCGGCGCCCGCGGGCATCGCCAAGGCCAGGCCGGCGAGGGCGGCGAAGTCGGGGAAGAGCTGGTGCAGCTCGGAGCGCGCGCACGCCAGCCGGGCGCACAGAGCGCGCGGGCCCGGCCGCCCGAGGCCGCGCACCACGCGCTTGAAGAGCGCGAAGTGGCCGAGCGCGCGCGGCGGCACCACCGCGGGGGCGAAGGCGCGCAGCAGCCGCCGCAGCGCCAGCTCGCCGTGCGCGCCCAGCTCCTCCGGGGTCTCCGGGTAGCGGCGGGCATCGAAGATCGCGGAGAAGGCGGCCACGGCCTCCAGCGAGGGCCCCGGGTAGGCGTCCCGCAGCCCCTTCTGCATGGAGTCCAGGAAGGCCCCCCGCAGCTGCTCCAAGTCCCGGAGCGCAGCCTCGGAGTAGCCGACCACCTCCAGGCCGCGGTAGGCGCTGCGCTCACTGCCCAGGCCGGGACTGGAGGGCGCCAGCTCCCGCAGGAAGCCCTGGAGCCGCGTGCCCCCGGAGCTCCGCTGCGCCTGGAGGGAGGCCGCTGCTGCCATCACCAGGGGCTGCAGCAAGGCCAGGGGTGGGTCTTCCCGCTGCAGGGCAAGGGCGAGCTTCTGCACGCAGGACAGGGCGTCCAGCAGCAGGTGGGTGAAGGCCACGAAGGTGAACTGGTGCAGGGCGAGGGCCAGGGCCCTAGCTGTGGGCGAGGCTGGGGCAGAGGCCTCCAGTGCAGGCACCAGGCATGGCCAAGCCTCAGCCACTGCTTCCACGACGGGCAGCGAGGAGGCCCAGGGCACTGGCCGTGGTCCTGCCAAGTCGATGGCTGCAAAGTCCAGGGCTGCCCGAAGCTCAGGGACCATTTGGGAACTGGGACCACCATGGAGGCAGAAGAGGGCATCCAGGACACTTTCGTATTCCCCTAGGTAGGCAGGGGGCTCAGGATCTGGCCGGCCGGGGAGGCAGTGCAGCTCGGTGAGCAGTGGGCAGGCGGCCCGGAGCTGCAGGCCCACACTCCCCCCCAGACAGTCGCCGGGAAGGCTTGAACTGAGCCAGGCTAGCTTGGCGGCAGACACGCCGAAGGTCTGCAGGATGTTCAGGAGCTGGCCAGCAGTGTCCTCGCCCTCCTGTAGCTCCACACTGCCCAGGAAGGTGGTGGCAGGCTGGCCGTCACTGGGGGACACCGACGTGGCAAACAAGGCCAGACTGTGGGACTCGGGCTGGTCTCTGGTCTTGTCCAACACCAGCCCCACATACGGGGATGCCTTCAGGCCCTGGCAAGCCTCTGTGTGCAGGACGCTGGCGATGGCCACCTGGGACAGCCAGAGAGAGGAAGGGAGGGAGGGCAGAGTTAGGCTTGTCCCGAGAAGGGGAGGCAGACAGTCAAGGGGAGCACAGGCGTTGGGGTCAGACAGACGTAGGGACGAATCTTAGCTTTGCCACGTATTGGCTGTGTGATCTTGGGCAAGCCATTTCACCTCTCTGAGCCTCAGTCTCTTTAGCTCTAAGACCAGGCTAGCCACGACCGGTTTGGCTCAGTGGACAGAGCGTCGGCCTGCAGACTGAAAGGTCCCAGGTTCGATTCCAGTCACGGGCATGTACCTTGGTTGCGGGCACATCCCCGGTAGGGGTGTGTGTGCAAAAGGCAGCTGGTCGGTGACTCTCATCGATGTTTCTAACTCTCTAGCCCTCTCTCTTCCTCTCTGTACAAAGTCCATAAAATACATTTTAAGAAAAATAAAAAATAAAATAAAACCAGGCTCATAGGTGTCCATCCTCTCCTCCAGAGGTGGTTGTGAATTATAAATACAACTTTTCGTTTTTGTGCTTATAAAGGAAAAATGCTTTACGAACTGTAAAAGCTCCATGGAGTTTGGTGTGTGTGTGTGTGTGTGTATTTCTACAGCATCACCCAGTCTGCCTTATTCCTGGGGCTCTCCCTCCTCTCTGCTGTCCAGAGATTAACCGATAGATATGTTCACTCCTGACTCCTGGCCAGTGGCATAAGGCCCCCGAGGTGTGTTCTGCTTGTCTGTTTGCCATCTCTCTGTAAAATGAGAGCGACTCCGCCTCCCCCACCCCAGCCCCTGGGGCTCACACCGCTGGTAAGTACCTAGGACAGAGTTGCAACGTGCATGCCCCCAGGGGCCATGCGGGTAATACTGATCTCGAGGTGGCCCAGGGATAACACGGAGGGACTGGGGGAGTCCATCCTCGCTCCCCAACTCCACCTCTTCATGCCCTGAGAGCACGGGGACCTAGCTTTTCGGTCCAAGTTACAAATCCAGATGTTCACATATAATGCCTCGTTTTGTTAAACTTGGACGCTAATGAAACGTGTTTAAAAACACTGTGGCTCTGGCCGGTGTGGCTCAGTTGGTTGAGCGTCATCCCATGCATCAAAGGGTCGTTGGTTTGATTCCTGGTCAGGGCACATGCCTGGATGAAAGGCTTCCTCCTCTGTAGGGAGCGTGCAGGAGGCAGCTGATCGATATTTCTCTCTTGCCCTCTCCCTGCCTCTCTATCTAAAATCCATCAAACAGCCCTGGCCGGTTGCTCAGTGGTTAAAGCATTGGCCCTTGGACCCAAGGGTCTCTGGTTGGATTCCCAGTCAAGGGCACATACCTTGGTTGAGTAGAGGCATGAGCAGGAGGCAACCAATCAATGTGTCTCACTTAGGTGTTTCTCTCCCCCACTCACCCCTCCCTTTCACGTTCTCTAAAAATCAATGGAAAAGATAGTTTTGGGATTT